GGCACTTCTGCCTTGTGATCATCAGCGTTTTTGTACTTTGTTAGGCCTTGTACCCACGCTTCCTCACTTGCTGTAGGCTTTGTTTGTACTGTGATCTATATGTATACCTGCATGCTTTCTCTGGTAGGTAGAGATCACTGTGCTGTTGTTGTTACATATATATCTCTGCATGTGAACTGGCCTTGTGGCCTTTTGCTTGTCCTCAGACTGCGTGGTGACGTTGTGATCCACCCTGAGCTTGCTTTGCATTTCCTGACTGGTCTTGTGACCCTCTGTTCTCCCCCACTTTGCCTATGGGGGTGTGTCAAACATATATATACATATATATGTTATAGTTTGGGTAGGCTTAGTGGGGTACTCACTGTGGGGTACAACCCCTTAGGTTTCTCCTTTGTACCAACTCTCTCGACAGTCAATTCCACTCATGCCTATACTCTAAGAGGTCTGATTGGTCCGCTCGGTCTGGCCATCCGTTTGCGGGTGGTATGCCGAAGAGAACTGTAGCTTCGTGCCGTACTGCGCCCACGTTTCCTTCCAAAATTTCGACGTGAACTTCGGATCTCGGTCGCTGATGATCGCCGAGGGAATTCCGTGCAGTCGCACGACCGTTGAGATGAAGAGTCGCGCAGTTTCTTCGGCAGTGATTGTTGTACGACATGGTGCGAAGTGCGCCATTTTCGTGAGACGATCGACGACGACGAGAACGGCGTCGTTGCCGGTCGGTCCAGCTAGCATCCCCGTGACAAAATCCATTGTCACCTGTTGCCACGGTCGTTCGGGTGGCTCGAGGGGTTGCAGCAACCCAGCTGGCCGTTGATGTGTCGATTTCATGGCTTGGCACACCCTGCATGAGGACACATATCACTGCACGTCGTTAGAGGAGTCAGGCCAATAATAGTGACGGTGCAGTAATTTCTGGGTTTTGTCAACCCCGAAATGTCCGGAGAGGTTGGAATCGTGGACCTCTTGGATAAGGAGTTCACGCAGCAGCCGGTAAGCGGGAACCCAAATCCAGTCAGTTCCGGCTTTTAGGTAGTAATCCCCTTTCTGCGTCATTGCTTGCTGATGATTTCCGGTCGTGAAGAACGGGTCCGTAGTGTAGCCGTGGGTGAAAAGTCCCGTAAGTAATGGGTTCGAGTGGTGAATGAGTACTGCAGCGGATTGTACTGTCAAATTTATATATAGCTTACATTGTGTAGGCTGTAGCGGGGTAGCCCATAAAAGGTACAACCCAATTAGGGTTAGAACTTGTACCCAACTCTTTCATAGTTCATCCATTCTCGTTCATTATTATGACATGGTTTCAGAGCAGGTCCTCCGCTAGGACCGTTTTTTCTTGGGCCCACCTCAACGCTACCCCGCTAGCCGCCCTCTGCAGCCCTCGAGCTGCCCCTACTGCATGTCGCGACCGTTAGGCCCCTAGGCTCGTTGCCCCTAGGCCTGTTGCTTCGGCCCGTCGCCATAGGCCCGTCGCCCGTCGCCCCTAGGCCCGTTGCTTCGGCCCGTCGCCCTAGGCCCGTCGCCCCCGGCCCGTCGCCACCTAGGTCCGTCGCCACCTAGGCCCGTCGCCCCGCGGCCCGTAGCAAGTCGCGCGTCGCCCCGCGGCCCCTCGGCCCGGCCCGTAGCCCGTCGCCCCGCGGCCCATCGCCCCTAGGCCCCGCGGCCCCTCGCCCCTAGGCCCCGCGGCCCGTCGCCCTTAGGTCCCCCCGAGGCTCGTCGCTCTTGGCCCCGCGGCCCGTCGTTCCTGGCCCCTCGGCCCGTCGCCCCTAGGCCCCCGGCCCCTCGGCCCGTTTCTCGTCGCCCCTAGGCCCCGCGGCCCGTCGCCCCTAGGCCCCGCGGCCCGTCGCCCCTAGGCCCCGCGGCCCGTCGCCCTTAGGCCCCCCCGAGGCCCGTCGCTCCTGGCCCCGTGGCCCGTCGTTCCTGGCCCCGCGGCCCGTCGCCCCTAGGCACCCGGCCCCTCGGCCCTTCGTTCCTGGCCCCGCGGCCCGTCGCCCCTAGGCCCCCGGCCCCTCGGCCCGTTGCTCCTGGCCCCACGGCCCGTCGCCCCTAGGCCCCGCGGCCCGTCGCCCCTAGGCCCCCGGCCCCTCGGCCCTTCGTTCCTGGCCCCGCGGCCCTTCGCTCCTGGCCCCGAGGCCCTTCGCTCCTAGCCCCGCGGCCCGTAGCCCCTAGGCCCGCCGGCCCGTCGTTCCTGGCCTTGCGGCCCCCTTCACTCCTGGCCCCGCGGCCCGTCGCCCATAGGCCCCCGGCCCCGCGGCCTCCTTTGTTCCTGGCCCCGCGGCCCGACGCCCCTAGGCCCCAGGCCCCTCGGCCCCCTTCGTTCCTGGCCCCGCGGCTTGTCGCCCCTAGGCCCCCCCCGGCCCCTCAGCCCGTTGCTCCTGCCCCCCCCCCGGCCCCTCGGCCCCTGCTGCTACTGCTACTACTGCTACTGCTGCTACTACTGCTACTGCTACTGCAACTGCTGCTACTGCTGCTCCTGCGTGCTGCGCCGTTATGGCTTCGCTTCGAGTTCTCGCGTTCGATCATGAAAGCAGACCGATTCAGTTTGACACGTGGCTCGACGATCTGCAGCTCTACCTACTGAGCGATTCAAAGGACAGTGTTTCGCTGTTTGACCTCGCGTCTGGCGCTGCTACTGCCCCTCCCACCACAGTTGACAGTGCGACTCGCTCACAGTGGCTTACTCGCGACGCTGCTGCCTGCTTAGCCATTCGCAACCACCTGCCGTTAGCCGAATGCGCTCACTTCGGTCAGCACAGGACAGCACAGGCACTGTACGACGCTGTAGTCGCTCACTACTCCTCACCTGCCACCGCTGCTCTAGGCCGCCTGCATATGCCCTACATGTTCCCCGAGCTGTCTGCCTTTGCCACGGTAGAGGACCTTGTTTCTCACCTCCACACTAGCGACGCTCGCTACCGCGCTACCGTCCCTGCTGAGTTTCTTTACAGGAACCAGCCTCCCCCCCGATGTTCATCACTCTCTACTTCATAGTCACCCGCCTCCCTGACTCTCTTCGCCCTGTCAGGGACCACTTTCTCTCACTTGACCCCACCTCCCTCACTGTTGACCTACTCGAGGAGCACCTCCTCGCACCGAGACTAGTGCAGTTGCTGTAGGTGCTGCTCGTGGCACTCCGCGCATGCCCTTCTTTGAGGGGTGCTCCCCCTCCCCCCTTGCCCCCTCCTACGCCTCTGCTGCTGCAGCAGACGTCCCTGGCGCTGAGGACGTCGGAGCTGCTTCTGCTAGTGCGAAGCGCCGCAGCAGCAAGGGCAAGGGTAGCAGGGGTGGTGGAGGGGGCAGCGGGAGTGTTGGTGGGGGCAGCAGTGGAGGTAGTGGAGGAAGTGGAGGTGGTGGCAGCAGTGGGAGTGGTGGCGGGAGTGGGGGCGTTGGTGGCGGCGGTGGAGGAAGCGGTGGGAGTGGCGGTAGTGGCGGCGGTGGGACTGGTGGCGGCAGGATTGACGCTCGGCGTGGAGGTTCTGGAGGTGGCCAGCGGCAGCAGCAGCAGCGTCGGAGCGAGACCCATTCGCCCCAGCAGCTTCGTGAGTGATTGTTTCATCGTGGGACGTCTGGGGGTAGTGATAGCTGCCCGTATGTCATTCGCACAGGTGACCGTGCTGGTCAGACATGCGGGAGGCTTCACACTCAGCACCGCTGCTTCTCCCGCCTTGACGACGCTTGGCGTGCTGAGTTTGGTGACGAGGTCGAGCGCCCTCGCTGGGCAGATCTACTTAGGTCTGGAGTTGCTATCTTTGACCTAGACTTTGATGTTATTCTTTCTACTATGTATGCTTTGTCTGCTAGTGCTGAGGGTGACTGTTCCCGGTGTGTGCCGCCTGACCCAGGTATAGCTGCTGTTGCTCTAGGTGCTAGTGAGTCTGTTCTCCTTGGTACTGCGCCTGCTGAGGCCTTGCACACCTTCACGCTGGACTCAGGTGCCTCACGCTGTTTCTTTCGTGACAGCACCACTCTCACTCCTCTCCCTGCACCTGTCCTGGTCCGACTGGCTGACCCCTCTAGGGGCCTGGTCGTTGCCCGTTCCTCCACTGTCCTCCCGTGTCCGGCGGTTTCGTCCGGCTCACTCTCAGGTCTTCACCTCCCCTCGTTCTCTACGAACTTGGTGAGTACCGCTGCCCTCCAGGATGCGATGGTCACTACCACCACTCCTGGGGGTCAGCGTGTGTCGATCTGCACGTGTACACGGACGGGCCGTCACCTGGCCACGTTCACTCGTCGACCAGGGTCGAGTCTGTACACACTGGCCACCGAGCCTCCTCAGGTAGCTGCGTCTGCTCAGGTGTCCGTGTCAGGTCAGGTTACACCCCCTTGCTCATGTCGCCTCCTGTCGCACCAGACTCTTCTGTGGCACCACCGCCTGGGTCTGTCGCGATATATATTTTATATATATTTCTAACTGCCTGTAGCTTTAGCTTTAGTGTAGTTATGCTTTCGTACTAGTTGTGGTGCACCTTCTCATGTTTGCTATATGTACCCCAGTGCTATAGTGAAAGCTCATCATTCTCTCTACTCCACCTTGGCACAATCTCCTCGAAACCACCTTGGCCTAGGCTACTAAGCCTAGGCTCTAACTTAAACCCAACTCCTACTTATACTACGATTCTAACATGCTATTAGAGCGGTTCTTCCTCGGACCGATCATAATGGGCCCACCATTAGCTTCCGCTACGGCACACCCTGTCGCGCCGCCCGTCACGCTGTCTGCCTCTGCCCGGCGCCTCGTGCGCCTCTGCCCGGCGCCTCGTGCGCCTCTGCCCGGCGCCTCGTGCGCCTCTACCCAGTGCCTCGTGCGCCTCTGCCCGTCGCACGTCGGTTTCTTCCCATCGTGCGCCCCGAGCGCGCGGCGGTTTCTGCCCGTCGTGCGCCCCGAACGCGCGGCGGTTTCTGCCCGTCGTGCGCCCCGAGCGCGTGACGGTTTCTGTCCGTCGTGCGTCCCGAGCGCGCGGCGGTTTCTGGAAGCAGCGCGCCCAGCGCGCCCTGCTGCCCTACGTGCCCAGCGCGCCCTGCTTCCCTGCAGCCCGCGTCGCCTGCAGCCCGCGTCTCCTGCTGCCCGCATGCGCCCTGCTGCCTGCGCGCCCTGCAGCCTGCGTCGCCTGCTGCCCCCGCGCGCCCTGTTGCCCTGCGCGCCCCGCGCGCCCTGCTGCCCAGCGCGCCCTGCTGCCCTGCGCGCCCAGCGCACCCTGCTTCCCTGCAGCCCGCGTCGCCTGCAGCCCGCGTCTCCTGCTGCCCGCATGCGCCCTGCTGCCCGCGCGCCCTGCAGCCTGCGTCGCCTGCTGCCCCCACGCGCCCTGTTGCCCTGCGCGCCCCGCGCGCCCTGCTGCCCAGCGCGCCCTGCTGCCCTGCGTGCCCAGCGCGCCCTGCTTCCTTGCAGCCCGCGTCTCCTGCTGCCCGCATGCGCCCTGCTGCCCGCGCGCCCTGCAGCCTGCGTCGCCGGCTGCCCGCGCGCGCCCTGCTGTCCTGCGCGCCCCGCGCGCCCTGCTGCCCTGCGCGCCCTGCTGCCCTGTGCGCCCCGTGCGCCCTGCTGCCCTCTGCACGCGCATCTGCAGCCCCATGCACAGCCCCTACCCCGCCCCCCCCCCCCCCTTCTCCTCCCTCTCCCTACTGCACGTGCAGCAGTTGGGGTGGGGGGGGGGGGAGGGGAGGGGAGGGTGTGAGGGGGAGGTTGCACCTACAGCGCCAGCCTGCCTCCTCTCTCTCACAGCCGCACCTGCTGCTGTGGGGGGGAGTGTGATGTGGTGGGGAGGCTCAGGGGATGTGGGTGGTGGGTGACATAACTGCAGCAACTGTCGCCACGCCTCCTCCTCTCTCACGGCTGCACCTGCTGCTATGGGGGGAGAGGGTGTGAGCGGGTGGCGGATGTGGCGCACGACGGGTGTGGGGGGGAGAGTACGGGGGAGCTTGGAGGTTCAGGGGGTGGCAGGAGGGGACCTGCAGCACCAGCCCCCCCCGCCTCCCCCCCCCCCCCCCCCCCCCTTCTCCTCCATCCATCTGCTGCGGGTGCAGCAGTGGGGGGAGGGGATCTGCAGCACCAGCCCCCCCCCCCCCCTTCTCCTCCATCCATCTGCTGCGGGTGCAGCAGTGGGGGGAGGGGATCTGCAGCACCAGCCCCCCCCCCCCCCCCCCCCCCCCCTCCCCTTCTCCTCCATCCCCCTGCTGCGGGTGCAGCAGTTTGGGGGGAGGAGGGGGGGAGAGGGTGTGCAGGGGTGGCGGATGTGTTTAAGCAGCAGCAGCTGCCGCTACGCCTCCTCCTCTCTCACGGCTGCACCTGCTGCTGTGGGGGGAGAGGGTGTGAGGGGGTGGCGGATGTGTTTCAGCAGCAGCAGCTGCCGCCACTCCTCCTCCTCACTTACCACTCTGCCGTCGTCCACTGCGCCAGCTATACCCCTTCAGGGGGTGTGACTTCCTCTAGCTATGTGCTGCAGGCAGTTAAGGGGGTCTGTCGCGATATATATTAAAAATATATTTCTAACTGCCTGTAGCTTTAGCTTTAGTGTAGTTATGCTTTCGTACTATTTGTGGTGCACCTTCTCATCTTTGCTATATGTACCCCAGTGCTATAGTGAAAGCTCATCATTCTCTCTACTCCACCTTGGCACAATCTCCTCGAAACCACCTTGGCCTAGGCTACTAAGCCTAGGCCCTAACGTAAACCTAACTCCTACTTATGCTACGATTCTAACAGGGTCACCCCTCCCTGCCACGCCTTCGTGGCATGCACTCTCGTCTCCTTGTCTCTGGTCTTCCCAGGTCTCTGCCTCCCCTCCCGCCCTCGCCTGCCCCGCCCTGCCTTCCTTGCGTCGAGGGGCGGCAGCGCGCCGCTCCTCACTCCTTCTCGTTTCCCCCGACGACTGCTCCCCTGCAGACTCTCCACATGGACGTGTGGGGCCCAGCCCGCGTCACTGGACAGGGCCGCGAGCGCTACTTTCTGCTGGTCGTTGACGACTACACGCGGTACACCACGGTCTTCCCCTTGCGCAGCAAGGGTCAGGTCGTTGATGTCTTGATCCCCTGGATCCGCACAGTCCGTCTCCAGCTCCGCGAGCAGTTCAGTACGGACCTTCCTGTCCTACGTCTGCATTCTGACAGAGGTGGTGAGTTCTCCTCCGACCTCTTGATGGACTTTTGTCGTGGGGAGGGCATTCTCCAGTCGTTCACGCTTCCGGACTCCCCTCAGCAAAATGGGATTGCTGAGCGCCGCATTGGCTTAGTCATGGAGGTCGCTCGTACCTCCATGATCCATGCGGCTGCTCCCCATTTTCTGTGGCCATTTGCGGTCCGGTACGCTGCGCATCAGCTCAACCTCTGGCCCCGTGTCTCCTTGCCGGAGACCTCGCCCACACTGCGTTGGACGGGGAAGGTTGGCGATGCGTCGTTGTTCCGGGTCTGGGGTTCTCGTGCCTTTGTTCGCGATACGTCCGCGGACAAGCTCTCCGCCCGCGCCATTCCCTGCGTCTTCCTTGGCTTTGTCCCTGACGTGCCTGGATGGCAGTTTTACCACCCTACCTTGCGCCGTGTCCTCCCCTCTCAGGACGTCACGTTTGACGAGTCGGTTCCCTTTTACCGTCTCTTCCCCTACCGCTCTGCCCCTCTCCCTCCCCCGCCGCTCTTCCTTGCTCCAGGTCCCCCACCGGTAGACCCCCTCCCTCCTCAGGGTCCTGCTCCCTCAGGTATCTCTCAGGTAGACCCACCCCCTGGTGCTGTTCTTGGAGAGGTAGCTGTAGACTCAGGTGCTGCTAGAGGTACTGCGTCCAGAGGTGCTGAGCCTGGGGGTGCTGAGCCTGGAGGTGCTGAGCCTGGGGGTGCTGAGACTGGGGGTGCTGAGCCTGGAGGTGCTGAGACTGGGGGTGCTGAGCCTGGGGGTGCTGAGCCTGGGGGTGCTGAGACTGGGGGTGCTGAGACTGGGGGTGCTGAGCTTGGAGGTGCTGAGCCTGAGGGTGTTGAGCCTGGGGGTGCTGAGTCAGAGGGTGCGGAGTATGGGGGTGCTGAGCCTCAGGGTGCTGGGTCTCAGGGTACTGCTTCGTCTGGAGGTTCTGCTGGTGCTTCGCCGAGACTGTCTCCGCAGCAGCTGCGTGAGTGGCTTGTTCGGCGCGCACGCCTTCGGAGTGGAGCTACCGGAGCTGGAGGTGCTGGAGCCGCTGGAGCTGGAGGTGCTGGAGTTACTGCTGGAGCTAGTGTTAATGGAGGTACTGCGGCTACTGGTCCTGGAGGTGCTCGTACCCAGGGTACTGGAGCTGCCGGGACTGGTGGTGTTGGGGGCGCTGGAGCTGGAGACCCTATGGAGTCTGGAGCTGCTGGAGCTGGAGGCTCTGGCGCTGGTGGCGCTGGAGCTGGAGGAGGTGGAGTCGGAGGCACTGGCGCTGGAGGAGCTGGAGTTGGAGGCACAGGCGCGGGAGGCGCTGGAGCTGGAGGAGCTGGAGCCATTGACCCTGGAGCTGGAGGTGCTAGAGCTGGGGGAGCTGGAGCTGTTGACCCTGAGCAGTCCGGCGGTCTTACAGAGCGTTGTGAGCCTGCGTCTTGTCCTGTCTCGCCTGTTCGCGCTGCTCGTCGCGTTCCTCGTTCGCGTCCTCCTCCTGTCCCCAGCACACACGCTATGGCACTTCGTCCTTCCTCTGTTCCACTGCGTGTTCCTCTGCCTGCTCCTCCTGAGTCCTCTCTTCTTGCGGTCCCTGACCCTGAGTCTGGCCGCGCTCGTGTTACCAGTCCCACTGTCTCTCGTCTCCTCGCCACTGCTGTCACTGACCCTTCCTTTGAGTCTGCTGCTGTGTCTGACCTCGATGCTGAGCTGCTTGACTTTGCTGCTGCCTGTCGTCTAGACTACGCCACTGCTCTTGTTGCTGAGTCTGCGTCTGCCAGTCCTCCGTCCGTCGAGGGTGAGTGTGCTCTTGGCACGGACGTCCTTGAGGACACGCAGGAGGACTTTGAGTGTCTTGCAGCTGGTGTACCTCGTTTCGCTTCCATGCTGCTTGCCCCTGAGGGAGACCCGGATGCACCAGACATCCCGACCCCGCGCTCTTACGCAGAGGCGATTACGGGTCCTTACTCCTCTCAGTGGCAGGCAGCCATGGATGCCAAGATGGCATCCTGGAAGTCCACAGGCACCTACGTTGACGAGGTTCCCCCACCTTGGGCGAACATAGTCGATGGCATGTGGATTTTCAGGGTGAAGCGGCCACCGGGTTCTCCGCCTGCCTTCAAGGCGCGTTACGTTGCTCGAGGCTTCAGTCAGCGACAGGGGGTTGACTACTTCCAGACCTTCTCCCCCACCCCGAAGATGAATACTCTTCGGGTGTTGCTGCACGTCGCTGCTCAGCGTGACTACAAGTTGCACTCTCTGGACTCCAGCACAGCTTTCTTGCAGGGCAGCCTGCACGAGGAGATCTGGCTGTGCCGCCCACCTGGCTTCACTGGGTCGTTTCCTGCAGGTACCCAGTGGAGCCTCCGGCGGCCAGTCTACGGTCTCCGCCAGGCGCCTCGCGAGTGGCACGACACTCTGAGGACTACACTTGCGGCTCTTGGGTTTGCTCCTTCTACTGCTGACCCGTCGCTGTTTCTACGCACCGACACCTCGCTGCCGCCGTTCTAAGTCCTCGTGTACGTCGACGACTTGGTCTTTGCCACTGTTGACACTGAGGCACTGACCCTTGTGAAGTCGGAGCTGCAGAAGAGACACACCTGCACTGACTTGGGTGAACTGCGCAGCTATCTTGGCTTGCAGATCACCCGGGACAGAGCACGGTGCACCATCACACTGACTTAGTCACACATGGTCCCCCAGGTCCTTCAGCGCTTTGCCTTCCAGTACTCCTCGCCACAGCTCACTCCTCTGTCTACCAGCCACTCGCTCTCAGCTCCACCTTCGGACGAGTCCGTAGAGCCGAGTGGTCCGTACCCAGAGCTTGTGGGTTGCCTCATGTACCTGATGACGTGCACACGACCTGACCTCGTGTACCCTCTCAGCCTTCTGGCTTGCTACGTGGCTCCCGGTAGGCACCGAAAGGTGCACTGGGATGATGCGAAGAGGGTACTGCGTTACTTGTGCAGTACGTCGGGCATGAGGCTCGTGCTTGGAGGACGGGTTCAGTTGTCCTCAATGGTCACGCAGACGCTTCTTGGGTTGACGACTCAGCTACGCAGCGGTCGTCACAGGGTTACACCTTCAGCCTTGGTTCCGGCTCTGTGTCGTGGCGGTCTACCCGCTCGTCTTCGGTTCTCAGCTCCAGTTGTGAGGCTAAGATCTACGCAGGAGCCATGGCTGCACAGGAGCTACACTGGCTCACCTACCTGCTGACTGACTTGGGAGTGAAGCCTCGTTCGCCTCCAGTTCTGTACGTAGACAACAAGGCCATGATTGCCTTGTGTCAGGAGCAAAGACTAGAGCACAGAACGAAGCACATCGCTCTGCGATACTTCCTTGCTCGAGAGTTGCAGCAGTGTGGCCAGCTTCGTCTTGCGTACGTGGCCACTAGGGCTAACACTGCTGATATATTCACCAAGGCACTTCTGCCTGGTGATCATCAGCGCTTCTCTACTGTGTTAGGCCTTGTACCTACTTTGCCTCACTTGCTCACTGCTTGACTCTGCTTGTACTGTAATGTATATATATACCTGCATGCTTATTCTTGCTAGGGTATGATCACTGTATTGTTTGCTCTCTTTATATATAACTCTGCATGTGAACTGCCCTTTGCTTGTGCTCGGACTGTGTGGTGACTTTGTGATCCACCCCGAGCTTGCTTTGCTTTTCTTGACTGGTCTTGTGACCTCTTGTTCTCCCCCACTTTGCCTATGGGGGTGTGTCAAACTTATATATAGCTTACATTGTGTAGGTTGTAGTAGGGTAGCCCATAAGGGGTACAACCCAATTAGGGTTAGTACTTGTACCCAACTCTTTCATAGTTCATCCATTCTTGTTCATTATTCTGACATGTACTGTCGGTCGGGTCAGGGCGTCGGCAATGTTATTTGCCCACTTCTTGTACGTGATGCGGTAGGTGAAGTGGCTCTCCATGTAGTCCAGCCACCGAATTTGTCGCGGGTTCAGGTTCGGCTGAGCTCGCAGGTATTGGAGGGACTTGTGGTCCGTGTGAACAGTGACGTCGGCGCCCACGAGGTAGCATCGCCACAGTTTGAATATGTGGATAATGGCGAGCATTTCCTTGTCGTGAATCGGGTAGTTGCGCTCGGCTGCCTGTAGCTTGTGTGACTCGTAAGCTATCGGCTGCAATCCGTTCCTGAAATCCTGGAGTAGCACAGCTCCGATGGCGAAATCGGAGGCGTCGGTGACGACTTCGAATGGCCTTGATGGGTTGGCGATGCGCAGTATAGGAGGGGAAACCAGGAAGTTTTTCAACCCCTGGAAAGCTGCCTCTGCCCCCCCCCCCCCCCCCCCCCCCCACACACAAAATTCATGTCCTTGTGCAGCAGGTCGGTTAGCGGGCCGGTTATCCTCGCCATATTCGGGATAAACCGCCGGACGTAATTCACGAACCCCAGAAAACTCTGCAGCTTCGTGACGTTCGTCGGGGACTTCCACTCCTGTATGGTCTTGATTTTCACCGGGTCGATTTTGTCAAACTTCTATGCTATAGTCTATCTAGGCTGTAGTGGGGTAGTTCATATAGGGTACAACACTTTTAGGTTTCCTACTTGTACCCACCTGCTTGTTAGTTCAGTCATTCATTCGGTCAATATTCTAACATGGTATTCTGAGCAGGTTCCCTCGTGGGAACGTTTTTTTTAGGGCCCACCACGAACTTTTTTTTTTTCCTGCCCTGCCCGAAGTGCGCCTCGCGCCTGCCTTACCTGCGCCGTCGCGCGCCCTTCCCTAGCTGGCCCGTCGCGGCCCTGCCTCAGCCGGCCCGTCCCGGCCCGTAGCTGCACGTCGCTGGCCCGTCGCCACGCGTCGCGGCCCTGCCTTAGCCGCCCACTGCGGCCTCGTGCTGCCCTTCGCTGCCCGTCGCTGGCCTGTCTCGGCCCGTCCCGGACCGTCTCGGCCCGACCCGGCCCGTCCCGGCCCGTCTCGGCCCGTCCCGGCCCGTCCCGGTCCGTCGCCGGCCCGTCCTGGCCCCTTTGCCGCCTGTCGTCGGCCCGTCGCAGCCCGACGTCGGCCCGTTCGCCGCTCGTCGCGGCCTCTGCCCTGCAGCCACCCTGTCGCGGCCTCTGCCCTGCAGCCGCCCTGTCGCCGCCCTGCACTGCTGCCGCCCTACTCGCGGCCCTGCCCTGCAGCCGCCCCCTGTCGCGGCCCTGCCCTACTACCGCCCCAGTTGCGGCCCTGCCTTCGCCGCCCGTCGCGGCCTCTGCGAAGAGTCTGCAGGGGAGCCTCTGTCGGAGGGAACTCGGAGGAGTGAGGAGCGGCGCGCTGCCGGCCCTCGACACAAGGAACACAGGTAGGGGCAGGCCCCGGAGGAAGGGGAGGGAGGGACCGGGGGAGACCAGAGACAAGGGTACGGGAGGCCATACCTCAAAGACGAGGCAGGGAGGGGTGACCAAGGTGGTGGTGCCAAAGGAGAGTCTCGTGTGACAGAGGACAACACGAGCAGGGGGGCGACGCTGGACTAGACCTGGACGCGGCAGAAAACACCTGACCAGACGCGGCTACCTGACCAGACGAAGTAACCGGAGGAGACGCAGTAGTCAGTGTGTACAGACTCGACCCAGGCCGACGGGTGAACGTGGCCAGGTGGCGGCCCGTCCGAGAGCAAGTGCAGTGGGTCACACGCTGACCTCCATGGGTGAACTGGTCAACCCATGCGTCCTAGAGGTCAGCTCCACTCACCAAGTTCGTGGAGAACGAGGGGAGGTGGAGTCCCGACAGCAAGCCCGACGGGGCCGCAGGACACGGTAGAATGGTGGAAGAGTGCGCAAGGACTGGGCCCCCAGAGGGGTCTGTGAGAAGTTTGACGAGAAGAATTGAATGAGAAAGGAAGGAAATGGATTCACTAGAAAGCAATTGGATACATATAACAAACCCTAACAGGGTTGTAGTCACTACAGAGTACCCCACTGCAGACTAGAGAAACATAATATTCTGACACACCCCCATAGTCAAAGTGGGGTATGATCAGCACAACAAGCAAAGCAAAGCAAGCTCAAGGTGGATCACAATGTCACCACACATTCTGAGCACAAGTACAAGAAGTAACAGTTTAAAGTTCACAATAAATAAGCAAAGCTAGAGGCTATCACAGAGGGCAAGTGAGGAGGAGGAGGCTGGACTAATAGGAGAGGAGAGAGGAGGCAACGGCGGAAACTGCAGACACACGGGCAACAGGAGCGGCGCGCACTGTGGCTACCGGAGGCGCACCTCCGGACTACAGGAGTAACTGGCTCCGCGGCTAAGACGAGCGGCAGGAGCAACGGACCCACAGGCGACTGGCGCAGCGGCATCACTGGGCTACCGGAAGCGCACCTCCGGACTACTGGCACTGCTAGCAACACGACGGCTACCTCCACCCAACCTCCCTCTACTGCCGCACCCCCCATTCACACACCCCCTGCTGCACCCCTAGGTTCACTCACACTCCACCCCCTAGCACCACTCCGTCGACTCACACACACCCACCCCCCTCAGCGGCAGCTGCAGCAGTGGGAGATGGAGTAGGAGGAGGAGCAGGGGATGCCACACACCCGCCACCCCCATACCCTCCCCCACTGCTGCACCTGCAGCAGGGGATGGAGGAGAAGGGGGGGGGGGGGGGGGGTGCTGTGCATGGCGCATGCAGAGGGCAGCAGGGCGCGCGGGGCGCAGCAGGGCTGGCGGGTTGGCCACACCCGCCACCCCCATACCCTCCCCCACTGCTGCACCCGCAGCAGAGAGATGGGGGGGGGGGGGGGGGCGGGGGGGGGCAGGCAGGTGCTGCAGGTCCCCTCCCCCCACTGCCGCATCCGCACCAGGGGGATGGCAGATCCCCTCCCCCCCCACTGCTGCACCCGCAGCAGGGGGAGGGAGAGGAGATAAGGGCGGAGAGGAGGGGGGGGGGGGGGGCGGGGGGGGGCAGGCAGGTGCTGCAGGTCCCCTCCCCCCACTGCCGCATCCGCACCAGGGGGATGGCAGATCCCCTCCCCCCCCACTGCTGCACCCGCAGCAGGGGGAGGGAGAGGAGATAAGGGCGGAGAGGAGGGGGGGGGGGGGGGGCGGGGGGGGGCAGGCAGGTGCTGCAGGTCCCCTCCCCCCACTGCCGCATCCGCACCAGGGGGATGGCAGATCCCCTCCCCCCCCACTGCTGCACCCGCAGCAGGGGGAGGGAGAGGAGATAAGGGCGGAGAGGAGGGGGGGGGGGGGGGGGGGGGCTGGTGCTGCAGGTCCCCTCCCCCCACTGCCGCAACCGCAGCAGGGGGATGGCAAATCCCCTCCCCCCCACTGCTGTACCCGCAGCGGGGGGGGGGGGGGGGGGGGCAGGTGCTGCAGGTCCCCTCCCCCCCACTGCTGTACCCGCAGCGGGGGGGGGGGGGGGGGGCAGGTGCTGCAGGTCCCCTCCCCCCCTCTGCTGCTCCCGCAGCAGGGCAGCAGGGCGCGCGGGGTCCAGGGGCGGCTGCTCCAGGGGCCAGGGGCCAGGGGCGGCTGCTGAGGTCCAGGAGCGGCTGCACCAGGGGCGGCTGCTCCAGGGGCGGCTGCACCAGGGGCGGCTGCTCCAGGGGCGGCTGCACCAGGGGCGGCTGCACCAGGGGCGGCTGCTCCAGGGGCTGCTGCACCAGGGGCGGCTGCTCCAGGGGCGGCTGCACCAGGGGCGGCTGCACCAGGGGCGGCTGCTCCAGGGGTGGCTGCACCAGGGGCGGCTGCTCCGACGCGTGGCCCCCCCCCCAGGTCGCCCCTCCCGTCGCCTGTTGAGGCGACGTGGGGGGGGGGGGGGGTGGGGGGGAGGAGTACGGGGGGCGACGCACGGCCTCCCAGGGCGCCAGAGCAGGCGGAAGAAGGGGCGACGCGCGCCCCCCCAGGTCGCCCCTCTCGCGCGCGCCCTTCCCCCCCCCCCGCTCGCCACGCAAGGCGACGGGAAAAGGGGGGGGGGGGGCGGTGCACGGGCCCCTGGTGCGCCACGACCGGCATGAGGGCGGGGCCTAGGTCGGGGCAGGTCCGGGACAGGGCCGGGACGGGGCCGAGGAAGGGCCGGGGCGGGCCGTGAAGGGGCCTAACGGGCCGCGAGGGGGGGCCGCGACGGACCTAACGGGCCGCGACAGGGTCGAGGCAGGGCCGGGGTCGGGGCAGGTCCGGGACAGGGCCGGGACGGGGCCGAGGAAGGGCCGGGGCGGGCCGCGAAGGGGCCTAACGGGCCGCGAAGGGGCCTTACGAGGGGCCTTACGAGGGGCCGCGAAGGGGCCTAACGAGGGGCCGCGAAGGGCCTTACGAGGGGCCGCAAAGGGGCCTAACGAGGGGCCGCGAAGGGGCCTAACGAGGGGCCGCGAAGGGGGCTGTACGAGGGGCCGCGAAGGGGCCTAACGAGGGGGCGCGAAGGGCCTTACGAGGGGCCGCGAAGGGGCCTAACGAGGGGCCGCGAAGGGACCTAACGAGGGGCCTCGAAGGGCCTTGCGAAGGGGCCTAACGAGGGGCCGCGAAGGGGCCTAACGAGGGGCCGCGAAGGGGGCCGTACGAGGGGCCGCGAAGGGGCCTAACGAGGGGCCGCGAAGGGCCTTACGAGGGGCCGCGAAGGGGCCTAACCAGGGGCCGCGAAGGGGCCTAACGAGGGGCCGCGAAGGGCCTTACGAGGGGCCGCGAAGGGCCGTTAAGGGCAGGCGCGACGCGCGCGACAGGCAGGTAGGAAGAAATTTTAAAACGTGGTGGGCCCTTAGGAAGGATCGAGATTGCTCTATACCATGTGAGAAGTTTGACGAGAAGAATTGAATGAGAAAGGAAGGAAATGGATTCACTAGAAAGCAATTGGATACATATAACAAACCCTAACAGGGTTGTACTCACTACAGAGTACCCCACTGCAGACTAGAGAAACATAATATTCTGACAGGGTCAGCCAGGGAGACTGCGATAGGCCGACTGAGCGGCGTGAGTGTGGTGCTGTCGCGAAAGAAGGAGCGCGAAGCACCAGAGTCAAGTGTGAATGTGTGCAAGGCCTCAGTAGGTGCAGTACCAGAGAGAGCAGACTCACCAGCACCTGGAGCAGCAGACTCACCAGTACCTGGAGCAGCAGACTCACTAGCACCTAGAGCAGCAGCCTCAATGCCCGGGTCAGGGGGAACACACAGGTAGCAGTCACACTCAGCACTATCAGTCATAGCATACATGGCAGCAAGGATAGCATCGAAATCAAGATCAAAGATAGCAACATTCTGCCTAAGCAGATCACCCCAGCGAGGGAGCTCAACATTGTCAGGAAACTGGGCGCGCCAGGCGCCAGTCAGGCGACCGAAGCAGCGCTGCTCAGTGTGTGGCAGCCCGCACGTCTCCCCACGGCGCCCGCCGGTGCGAAGAACGTAAGTGCAGGGACCAACACCCCCAGACCTCCCACGCCCAGCGTAACACTCACGAAGCTGCTGGGCCGACGGGGTCTCACGGGAGCGCGGCTGCTGCTGGCGCTGGCTACCACCAAAGCCTCCACGGTGCGCGGCTCCACCTCGACCAGCACCACCGCCGCCTCCACCTCCACCACCGCTGCCGCTGCCACCACCGCCGCTGCCGCTGCCTCCACCACCCCCACCGCCGCCACCGAAGCCTCCACTCCCACCACCACCCCCACCTCCACCGCCACCCCCTCCGCCTCCTCCACCGCCTCCACCGCCGCCCCCACCGTCCCCTCCACCACCCTTGCCCCCCTTGCCCTTGCTGTTGCGGCGCCTCCCACTAGGAGCAGACGCAGCCCCGACCTCCTCAGTGCCAACGAGGTCAACAGCAGCAGCAAAAGCAACAGAGGGGAGAAGTGTCAGAAGTAGTAGGAGTACGGCCTAGGCTTAGTAGCCTAGGCCACAGTAGGACTAGTAACGAGGAGCCAAGTACGAGCTAGGATTGTGTGCAGGAACAGAATTGAGAAGGGATGATTGAACTAGCAAGCAGCAGGATACAAATAGCAAACCCTAAGGGGCTGTACTCACTATAGAGTACCCCACTGCAGGCTACACAAACAACATATTCTGACACACCCCCATAGCCAAAGTGGGGTGTAATCAGCACAATGAGCAGTCATAGCAATAGTTCATAATTATCAGCAAAGCTAGAGGCTATCACAGAGGGCAAGTGAGGAGGAGGAGGGACTATGAAAGGAGAGAAGATGGGAGGCGACGACTGAAGCTGCAGACACACGGGCAACAGAAGCGGCTGACACAGTGGCGGCTGACACAGTGGCTACCGAGACAGAGCGCCCCGGAATACTGGAGTAACTGGCTCTGCGGCTACGACGAGCGGCAGAAGCAACGGACCCACGGGCGACTGGTGCAGCAGGCTCTCAGTGGCTACCGAGACAGTGCGTCCCGGAATACAGGAGTAACAGGCTCTGCGGCTGCGACGAGCGGCAGGAGCAACGGACCCACGGGCAACAGGTGCAGCAGGCTCTCTGAGCTACCAGGACAGTGCGCCCCGGACTACAGGTGCTGCGGACGACAAGACAGCAGCCTCCACTCAACCTCCCCAACAGTCCCACACCCCTCTCACACACCCCCTGCTTCACCCCTAGCTCCACTCCCACATCACCCCCCTAGTGCCACTCCCCACGACTCCCACACCTCCACCCCCCTCAGCGGCAGCTGCAGCAGTGGGAGACGAAAAAGGAGGAGGGGAGAACCCACACCTCTCACCCCCATGCTCGCCACCCCACACCCCAACCACCGCGGAACGCACGGTGGAATGGGAGCGATGGGCAGCACGGGGGGGGGGGGGGGGGGGGGGGGACGGGCTTCTGCAGAGGCGGCAGCTGCAGGTGCGGGCTGCTCCAGGGGCGGCTGCTGCAGGTGCGGGCTGCTCCAGGGGCGGCTGCTGCAAGTGTGGGCTGCTCCAGGAGCGGCTGCTGCAGGTGCGGGCTGCTCTAGGGGCGGCTGCTGCACTGGCGGGCGGCTCCAGGGGCGGCTGCTGCAGGTGCGGGCGGCTCCAGGGGCTGCTGCTGCAGTGGCGGGCGGCTCCAGGGGCGGCCGCGGGGGGGGAAAACGCACGGCCCCCAGGGCGCCCCGAGGGGCGACGAGAAGGGAGCCGCGCGGCCCCCCCCGGGGCGCCGCGACGGGCACCAGGGAGGGCGCCGCGACGGGCCCCCAGAGCCACCTCGACGGGCGACGGGAAGGGCGCCGCGCGGGCCCCCCGAAGTCGCCTCGACGGGCGTCGGGGAGGGCCGCGCACGGCCCCCGAAGTCGCCACGACGGGCGACGGGGAGGGCGCCGCGCACGGCCCCCGAAGTCGCCTCGACGGGCGACGGGAGGGGACCGCGCGCGGCCCCCGTGGTCGCCACGACGGGCGACTGGTGGGGAGGGCGCGCGGGCCCCCAAGGTCGCCTCGACGGGCGACGGGAGGGGAGGCCGCGCGGGTCCCCGAGGTCGCCTCGACGGGCGACGGGGGGGGAGGCCGCGCGGGTCCCCGAGAGCGCCTCGACGGGCGCTTCGACGGGAGGGGACCGCGGAGGCCCCCCCAAGGGCACCACGACGGGCGCCACGGAAGGGAAAAACCGCCAGGCGCCCCGAGCGCGCGGCGGGCAGAAATTAGGGTTTCGCCGCCGCGCACCACGGGGCGCGCGGCGGACAGTACGGCAGTGGAAGCGGGTGGTGGGCCCATACACAGGAAGGCGGCAGACATGCCGCCCTCTGATACCATGTCAGAAGTACTAGGAGTACGGCCTAGGCTTAGTAGCCTAGGCCACAGTAGGACTAGTAACGAGGAGCCAAGTACGAGCTAGGATTGTGTGCAGGAACAGAATTGAGAAGGGATGATTGAACTAGCAAGCAGAAGGATACAAATAGCAAACCCTAAGGGGCTGTACTCACTATAGAGTACCCCACTGCAGGCTACACAAACAACATATTCTGACAAGAAGGGGGACAGGGGAACACCCCTAAAAGAAAGGGGCGCGACGGTCGCCGTGAGAAGCGCCTACAGCTAAGATAATCTTCTCAGCTGCAGTGAGGCGCTCCTCTAGCAGGTCGACGGTGAGCTCGGTGGGGCAAAGGGAGAGAAAGTGGTCCCTGACTGAAGCAAGGGAGTCAGGGAGGCAGGTGACTAGGTAGTAAAGGGTGATGTACATGGGGGGGGTTTCTTGGCACAGAACTCAGTGGGAAGCGCAGCGCGGTAGCGGGCGTCACTAGTGCGGAGGTGAGTAATGAGGTCAGCGACTGTGGCAAAGGCGGCAAGGTCAGGGAAAAGGTATGGCAGCATGAGGCGGCTGAGGGCAGCAGTGGCAGGGGAGGAGTAGCGTGCAACTACAGCGTCGTACAAAGACTGAGCAGTCTTGTACTGGCCAAAATGCGCGCGCTCAGCAGGCGGCAGGTGACTGCGAACAGCAAGGCGAGCAACAGCGTCACGAGTGGTCCACTGCGAGCGAACCGTACTGTCAGCAGTGGCAGCAGGAGCAGTGGAGACACCGGACGTGTGATCGAAAAGGGATACCCCGTCCCTAGAGTCACACTGAAGAAAGAGCTGCAGGTCGTCAACCCACACGTCAAAGTCAACCGCACGCCCCTCGGCATCAAGCGTAAGAACAGTAGGGCTAGCCATAGCGGCAGTAGCAGCAGTAGCAGCAGTGGCAGCAGAAGCAACAGTAGCAGCAGGAGCAGTGCAAGCAGTAGGGCAGCGCGGCTCGGCAGGGCGGCGCGACTCGGTAGGGCGTCGCGGCTCGGCTGGGCCGCGCGGCTCGGCAGGGCGGCTCGGCTCCGCTGGGCGGCTCGGCTCGGTTCCTGGCGGCGCGGCATGGCAGCTGGCGGCGCGGCGCGGCAGGGCGGCACGAGTGCTTACCAGGGGCGGGTGCAGGGCAGGGCCGCAGCTGGCGGTTTAGGTCAGGGCCGCGACCGGGGTGGCAGCAGGGCAGGGCCGCGACAGGGGCGGCTGCAGGGCAGGGCCGCGACTGGGGCGGCAGCAGGGCAGGGCCGCGACAGGGCGGCTGCAGGGCAGGGCCGCAACTGGGGCGG